GAAACGATTCTGCAGTCCAAGGGAAGCAGAGCCCGGGCGTCCTCTTCTCCTCCCCTTCCCCCAGGGGGTTTTGGAGCCCTGGGTTTGCTGCCTCAGGCCCAGCAGAGGGGTCTCAGGAGAGGAGCTGGGGAGGGGGCTGGAGCACCCTCGTTTTTCCCCATTCCAACAGCGAGAGGGAGATTTAAACAACTCCCCACCAGAGCAGCTCTGGACACAAAAAGCTTTTTAGTTCTCATCAGCATTATGTATGATTATATTAAAATAAACCTTCAGGCTTCGTTTCCTGCTTCCAAGAACCCCCTCACAGGACTGTCAGGCATGGAAACATCTCCCAGGGATCTCAGCAAAGGGCACAATGAGAACATTTTCTCCTTTTTTTGTACCAAACGACTGCCCTCTGCTCTGGAAAAGCCCTAAAAGAAGAGGAGAGGTGCTAAAATCAGAGCTGTGCAATATGCACATCCCACTGGGGGCAGTTTTTCCTTCTTTTCCTACTAGGAACAACCCTCTGGATGAAAGAATTTGCAGCAGAGCCCTTCCTGCTCCTCGTGTGGACCTGTCTCACCTCATGGGACAGCAAAGAGACCGAATGGAGACCACCCCTCTGAGAGGGACCTCCCCCCATCACCACCCACCTCTCCATCAGCCAAAACAAAGATTTTTTGAAGCAAAGCAACCAAGAGAAAGGCAACCAGGAGATCATCTGTGAGCTACAGCCCCAGCAAGCCACCAAGGACAGGACCATGAGGCTTCCTGAGGGCTGGTGGACCATGGAAGACTCAACACGTCCTTAGAGAGTGGCACCAAACCTCCTCCAGCACCTCAACGACCCTGTGGTGGCTGCAAAGGGCCCCCTGAGCAGACATTTCCCTCCTCCCCTCCTCCAGCCCTGCTTGCTCCTGAGGTCAGGGGTCCAGGCTGGGGTTGAAGGGGCTGGATGTGGCCCAGGCAGGGCTGTGAGCATGGGCACGGGCTGGCAGTAGAGCTGGGAGCTGCCCGTGCCCACGGGGCCAGTGGCACTGGTTTAATTGCAGCCTCGGTGCCAAGGACAACAAAGTCCTGGCACAAAGGAGAGAAGTCATTCTGTCTGAAGGTTCCAATTGTTCCTCTCCTGCGGGGAGGGGAGGGAGGAGAAATCCATCCCTCTAGAAGCAATGACTCAGGTGCCACCATCCACCCCCTCCGGGGCGCCCGGCTGGGGGATGTTTTGGGCTGGGCTTTGTTTGATGCCCGGGCCCTGAGAATGGATTTATTGTTCAGCTGCCTGCAAAACCCTCCCTGGGGGCTGCTCTGGCCCCCACCCAGCCCAGTCGGGCATGCAGAAGATGCTGCCAAGGAGGGGAGGGTGGCAGCAGAGCCGGCGTCGTGCCGTGGTGCCAACCGTGCCCAGCACGTGCCACCCAGGGTGGGCAGCAAAGGGGTGTGCCCTGAGCAAAGGGAATGGTGCTGCTTCTGATGGAAACATCCTGGCTTGTACCAGCACTGGTGTGGCCAGCAGGACCAGGCAGGGATTGTCCCCCAGGCTTGGCATTGGGGGAGCACCGTCTCCA